CATTTGGGTGAAAATGCGAGTTGTCTTCAAATATTTGGAGGTGTGAAAGTTGTGAAGTAACGAGGAGACCCCTTGCTCTCCACAAGCTAATCCCTCAACTTTCCCGCTCGGGTAGGGACTGGCTGTGGCTCCGGGGGAATTTATTTATGTTGCTCCAAAGGGACCAACTAGGATCAATGGCTGGCAGTCACTGGAGGCGAACCTAAACAGTGTAAACTCCCCAGCAGGGCAGGCTCAGAAAGTGCTGGACTTCCTCATGAGGGGTACAGCTGCCCTGCCCGCCGGACTGCAGTGAACCTTGTATTTAACGGAACGATGGTTGCTAAGATTCCATTGTTTTAATTAAGGGGATTTGAGGACTTGGACAGTTTGTTTGTTTCTAAGTTTATGATTACCAGGCAAGGAAAGTAGGTGCATTTGGCCACGAAGATGACAAACGTATGAGGAAAACCAGGATAAGAAAATGATTCGCCTGTGGGCTGAAGAGGCAAAGACACCTAAACTGATTACCTGAGAGTTTTTCTTGGGAACATTCATAAGACAATAGACCATTTCTATTTTAGAAGACTGCGATTAATATTTACTTCTTGGCACATACCACGTTTTAACGTATTGATAGGTTGCCTCAGAATAGCACTGTGAGGTAGGCCCCACTCCCATTTACAGATACAGAAGCTGACGTTCAGAGAGATTAATGTGCCGTGGGCCACAACTGCTCGAAAGCCCAGGTCTGTGGGAGTTAAATATCCAAGTTTTTTCTGTCACACGGAGATATGTCACAGGAGGAGATATTCTGGACTTAAAGGGAAAATGCCGTTAGGAAAGCTTGCCAGACCACCCCAGCCACGGCAACTTGACCTGCGTTCTTAGGGCACTTAGTGTCTCTAAATTTATTAAATGTGCCTTATACATATTTCCTACTTAAATATCCTCACTTATCTATTGATCTGCTTATGTCTTCCTGTGCATTGTAAAGTCCTCTGTTTTAGACACCATGCTCTACATGTCCCCGTTTCCTCCAGAGCATCTTCCTACCACCCCCTCACATGGTGGGGGTGCTATGTGAGGAGGCTACTGGGCGAGCAGTTGCAGGAGGTAAACACAGCCAGCCAGCTTCCAGAATAAACATGATGAGGCAACACTTAAGACTTCAAGTTTCTAACCTCACTTAAAAGACGGACAGAGATACATACATCATATCTACCTACCTACCTACCTACCTACCTACCTACCATCTACTGTCTGGGATTCCTAACCCACGGATTCTCCACTTTCCTCTAAGCTCCAATACTGGTCTTCTTCCCAGAGGGCAGCCCTCACCTTTACCTTCGCAACCATTCTTCCTGCTGGGACTCCACATACCTCCTCTTCCTCCAAGGCTGAGGAAAAGCCAGAGCCTGGATCGGGTACTAGATCTTTCAGGAGTGCAGAAAACAGGAAAGGGGTCTGGGTGACATTATTCTGAAGACAGCAGAAGTGCCATGTCCATTTGGAGCTGACCCATAAAATGACAGTTTTGTCTAAAAGCCGTTTTCCAGGCCACACCCTCATCAGAAGCTCATTGTTTCACGCTCACTGACCATGCTTCTGATTGGCTGGCACCGCCCTCCCCTCCCCCACCAGGCCCAGTGGCCTATTGCTCTAAGGAGACTGGCTCTTTCAGGTTGTCTGGTCAGACCAGTGGGGCAAGGGTCAGGGAGACTGATATGACCCCAGGGTAGTTTTCTCAACTCTTTCTCTGACCTTCAGAGAGTGGTTGAAATTAGGCAATAGTGACTAGGTGATTATCATAAACCCACCTATCTCCTGAAGAAGCAAACACCCAATTTTGGTTATTGATTATGGCTTTTACCAGGACTATGAAACTTATCAGTTAGAATGCATTCAATACTTATCGTTAGGGATTTCTGTGAGGCGAGTTTTTGAAGAATTACACACCTGTCTTTTTTTGGTCGGTTAAGTACATGCTTCTAACCAAACTTACCCCAAAGGTAACTTGTGGTCCAACGTGGCACTGGATTTGGGTTTCTCAATCCTATGTGACACTGGCCAAGTATTTTAAGTGGGTGGCATATCTTCCAATAGCTTAAATCATGTTTTGATATTCTAGCTCTTATGTATGTCACAGCTACAATTGTTTAGTGACACATATGTAAAACTTGAATTTAAAAAAGTTGACCTGAAAAAGCAAGGAATCCTTCTCAAGTAAAGCCCAGCCCTATAACTAAACTTACTGTGTGTTCCAAAATGTAAAACACAGTTGTCTTAATGGAGGAAATTTCCTTTAATTATGTCTAATGAGGAAATGTTCTGAAGTCAGTGCTGGAAACCAGTCTTAATTGGAATCATACATCATATAATTAAACAGACCCCTTAGGGAGGAAGCTTGTGTTAACACTGGCCCTTTTATTTGTGTTTCATTATGTAATGTAAACAAGCTCCAGTAGAAACTGTTTTGCTTTATGGAGAGAAACTTGGGCTCTGAGGTCAGTCCAACCTTTTACCTTGTTTGAGCAACTTTAAAAAGAGACAATCTGTTTACTATGGAGAAATGATAGCATTGATATACTTTGAGTCAATGTTGCTTTGAAATGAATGCCAAACCACTGCAAGATTAGGTTAAAGAATTGAACTTATTGAGCATTCTCCACCCTGCCTCTGGTCCCCTGCCCCAAGGAGCTTACTTTCTGCTTTAATCTGTGAAAGTCTTAGAAATTCCAATAGTTACTACCGCAGGTGTGCAAATAGGGGTAACAGGGCCCACACTTTTTGCAGGTATACTTTGGTTTAAGAAAGTACTTTTTGGGTCTACCTTCAATGACTTACATCTTCTGAAATTTGCTACATTTAATTTTGTGTTAAAACATTATCTTGATCAAGATTTACAACAATCTTACCAAGTAAATACTCTCCTCACCCCATTTTACTCTTGAATATACTAAGGCCCAGAGACAAAGGTTAATAAGGTCTCACAGTTACTATGAGCAGAGCTGAGCTGAAACCCAGGCCTGTTAGACTTGGTATTGAGAACTCACCTAATGAAGTTTTCAGGACCAGTTGGAAATTCTGACGTAGAATTCAACTCAACTAGACTGATAAGTGGTTTGCACCAGAGTGAAAAGTACTTTTATGGAGCTCAGTACCGACATTGGTAGTAAGGACTTCTGACATATAAATTCTCCTAAGGTTTTGAAAATAGTTGTGAAGCTGGCCAGTGGACTATGTGGGGTTTCAAATGTCAACAAGAGTTCAATTGGGAACTTGGTAGAGTCATTTAATTTTTAAGACTAAATGATGACGGATGAGTTTTGGGGCATAAATAAGAGATGAGCTGATGGTTTATCAACGGAATTTCTGAGAACCAAGAGGAAGATAGCTGTGATTGCATCTATGCTACAATTAATTTGGCTAAGTAGGCCTTAGGAGAATCCATTTAGGAAAGAGCAGGTTTTAATGAAAAGAAAGGAAAGAAACATCAGTTCGGTATATACATTTTAATAAACTTTTTTTGTCTGTGCCGTATTTCATAATAGATGGTTTTCCTGAAGGTTTAACCTTCGGAAACACATACACACGTGTGTTCACATGTGCCAAGCTAATTTAACAGCACAGTTTATACAAGGAAAGAATCAGGGCACCTGGGTGGTTTAGTCAGGTAAGCATCTGACTTCAGCTTAGGTCATGATCTCACAGGTTGGGAGTTTGAGCCCCATGTTGGGCTCTGTGCTGACAGCTTGCTTTGGGTTCTGTGTCTCCCTCTCGCTATGCTCTCTGAGCAGTCCCCTCTCTCTCTCAAAAATAAACCTTTAAAAAAAAGTAATAATTGGACTCTTCAGGGCCTCTTCTGCCTATGTCCAATCCTTCCTCCTCAAAGGTGGATTACAGGGAAGGGATCAATGATAAAGTGCAAGGCTTTCACTGCTAATTGCCAAGTTTTCATCAGTTACATATTATTTAAAAAGTTGCTGGGGCACCTGGGTGACTCAGTCAGTTTGAGCGTCCAACTTTGGCTCAGGTCATGATCTCGTGGTTTGTGGGTTTGAGCCCCGTGTCAAGATTTGCGCTGATGGTGATGGTGCGGAGCCTGCTTGGGATTCTGTCTCTTCTTCTTCTGCCCCTCCCCTGCTTGTGTGCACACGCGCGCACTCTTTCTCAAAAATAAACACACGAAAAATAAATAAAAAGTTCTTTTGTCAATGGTTCTTCAAACTTGGAAATAACTTGCTTTGCTGATTCCTCTGACTACAGTTCTACCCAGATGGGCTCTACTAGGGTTTTTAGAAGGAAGCTCAGTACTCCCAACTGGACCTTAAATGAAATAGATTATTATTTCTAGCACAAAGTAATCTATGTCCAGTCTCTCTTCAAAATGGGGACAAAAGTCACAAATGTTTACAGAAAGCTGACTTGGGGCACCTGGGTGGCACAGTTGGTTAAGCGTCCATTTCTTGATCTCGGCTCAGGTCATGACCTCACAGTTCAGGCGTTGGAGCCCTAACGGCACGGAGCCTGCTTGGGATTCTGTCCCTCCTTCTCTCTGCCCCTCCCCCACGTGTCCATGTGTGCTCACTCTCTTTCTAAATAAAATAAACTTAAAAAAAAAAGAAAGCCATCTTATGTCCCAGTCATTCTACTATGCACTTTGATTTGCCCAAAGTCCTAGATCACAGAGCTGGGATTCCAATTGAGGACTCCAGAGCCTTTTCTGCCACATTACATCAACTATATCAAACACTGAGAAATCTTTTGTTACTCTGTAGCTGTAAAAGAATTGCTCGTCATTCCACTACCCATTTCTCAGTCTCCTTAGCTCTATTTCCTTTTACTTCTAGCTACTTCACCATCCTTCCCTGTAGAAGAGATAACTTTTAACCTTTCTACTATCTCTGGTTGAGTAGTACAGAAGAAAGCCAAAGGTATGTAGGAGCAAGTATGATTTATTTTGGGCAAATAGAAAAAAATGTTACTAATATCCATAGATACATTCCTTAAGTCATATATAAAGAAACACCGTTATTAAAAGTTTGCTTTATTTTTCTGTGGAATCGAGTATTAGCCCCCCCCCACCCCCCAGTTTACAGTCTGTTTTTTTTTAATGCCTTCCAAACATTAGCACAGTTAATATCACCTTATCAATAACCAAATAATAAATCAAATTAGTCCCAGTGGTTATGTCCACATCTAGATTGTTCGGGTGGTCAGGAACTTTTATTTGTTTGCTTTAGCTTTTAGTTCTTGGTTATATCTATAAAGGAAACAGAAAGAAAATAATTACGCATCACAATAGAGAACTAATATAAGAACGGAAAGGGGAGTACATTCCTTGTCTTCTTTCTCACTAGTCAGTCAAAAGGCTGTATCGTTTTAGCCACAATCTTCTCGGGGGCTTGTGGGTAAAACAGGCAGAAGGGAAAGTGACCTAAGGCTCTGGCTTCCAACTCCCAAAAAGTTTCAACAACTTAACTGATAAACAGTTTCCTATACAAAAGTATTATTTTGGTGAGTATTTTCATTCTTGAATTATAAAAGTGTAACAGACATGTGAACATATAAATAAAATTTAGCAAAATGTGGTCAACTAGAATTTATTGTATAATCACAGAACATCTTTCCTGAGAATAAAATAAACTGGGGATGAGATCCTGTCTAAGCACTAAAAATAAAATATACTTCTTAAAAAATAAAATATGCTTAAAAAAATAAAATAATTTTATTGTAAACATTTAATAAAATAAAATAAAATAAAATATGCTTGTGTGATGCAGGCTGACTACTGAGTAATTAGCAGGTTGTAAACACTGGGTTAGCAGAAGAGTAAACCTAAGGCCTATTTCTTCAATTCTCATTAATGCGAAGAAGAATTAACCACAAAGTCAGAGTCTTCCCCTTCCACAGCACCCGGAGCTTCATTTACTCTTCTCCCCACATTATAAGGGCACGGAACAGAAGCACAGGGAGTAACTCGTTCCATGAAGTTTCCCAGAGCCCCCAGATTTCTCAAAAGGTTCAGATACTCAACGGTGTTTGTCTAAGGGCTCCAGAGTCCAACACTTATATTTTGAACGAAATCTCCCAATCTACTGTTGCGATGGAAAACTGTGCCAAAAATCCTGTCAAACTGTATCTGGGCTTCTGCTTTAGAAATAGTAATTCTGAATGCTGCCCTTGGGGTTTTCTTAGCTCTACTGTTATGAGTATTATAAGGTTAAAATGAAATGGAGGAGAAAAATACTCATGAATAAAGTCACTGTACAAATCGAAGTTTATATGGATATAAGTAAGCTCTAAAACTGCTTGTCCTGAATACTGTGGAATGAGAGAGTGCGTGACTCATCCATCCATTCTGTGCTAGAGGGTGAAGACAGGACTGACTTGTAAAGCAGGGAGAGAAGAGGAAAAAATGAACTCGGCAGGACAGAAGGCCTTCTGAGAGGAAGGTAAATTATAACGAATATTTTCTATTTCTTTATTGAGATCATTTAATTGTTTTAAGCCAAACAGCGCTGTCTTGCAATTGAGGAAGGTTCTGTGGTTCAAACAAGGCCAGAGTCTCCCTCTATGGTGAGCTCGATGCAGCGCGTGAGCCAGTCACTGACAATGTTAACAGCTGCGTGCAGGCAGCCTTCGGAGAGAACGGGTTCAGTTCCGGATCACCCCAGTAAAAGTATCACGGGAAAGCCAACCAGGTGAACACTTTAGCTTCCCAGGGCGGAAAAAAGTTATGTTTACACTGTGCTGGATTCTACTCAATGTGCACTAGCAGTGTATCTAGGAAAAAAGTACATAGCTTAATTTAAAAAATGTTGCTAAGAAGTGCTAACCATCATCTATGCTTTCAGCGAGTCGTAATCTCTTTGCTGGTGGAGGGTCTTGCATCAACGCTGGTGGCCGCGGAACGTGGTGGCTGCGGAGGGATGCGGTTGGCTGTGTTTTCTTAAAACAGGACAAGGAAGCTGCCACATCAATGGACTTTCACAAATGAATCCTCTGTTGCATATGATGCCACCTGATAGCATCCGATGGCGCCAACAGTAGGGCTTTCCTCAAAACTGGAGTCCGTGCCCTCAGACCCTGCCACAGCTTTACCAACCAAGCTTACGTCCTATTGTAAATACTTTGTGGTCCTTCCAACAACCTCCACAGCACCTTCACCAGCAGCTTCCATCTCGAGAAACACTTTCTCTGCTCGTCCACGGGACGCGACTCCTCCTCCGTTCAATCCTGAGATTGCGGCCATTCAGTCCCATTTTGGGCTCTTCATCTCGTTCTAGTTCTCTGGCTATTTCCACATCTGCAGTCACTTTGGCCACTGAAGTCTCCAGCCCCTCCACGTCATCCAATGAGGGTTGAAACTGACTTCTTCCAATCTCTTATTCGTGTTGATGTTTTGACCTCTTCCCATGAATCATGACTACTCACGCTCGATCCTCTACCCAGGCCACTAAAACGTTCTCCATGTTGGCGATGAGGCTGTTACGCTTTCTTATCAATTGTGCGTTCACTGAAGTAGCACTTTGATTTCCTTCAAGAACTTTTCTTTTGCCTTCACAACGTAGCTGAATGTTTGGTAAAAGAGGCCTACCTTTCGGTCTGTCTCATCAGCTTTCAGTGTGCCTTCCTCATTAAGCTTAATTACTCCTAGCTTGGCGTAAAGTGAGAGACATGCAACTCTTTCACTTGAACACTCAGAGAAAAACTGGAGGCTTGATAATTGGCCTATTTGTAATATTGTTGCGTCTCAGGGAACAGGGTGATCTGAGGAGAGGGACGGAGATGGGGGAATGGCCCAGTCGACGCTGTCAGAACACACATGGCGTTTATGGGGTCAGCTCACTGCCTCACGTGGGCGTGCTCTGTGGTGCCCCTCAAACAATGATGGTAGTAACATCAAAGTCCCTGGTCACAGACCACCATCACATATTATAATAATGACACTTTTTGAACTATTGTGAGAATTACCAAAACGTGACACACAGACATGTAGTGAGCAAACGCTGTTGGAAAATGGTGTCGACAGACGAGCTCGACGCAGGGCTGCCACAGACCTTCCCTATGTAAAAAGCGCCACATCTCTGAAGCACAATGAAGCAAAGTGAAACAAAATATGGGATGCCTAACAACAGTGTAAAAAATACTCATGGAACACTTTCTGATAAGACCCATACCTCACTCTAAACATCATTTCCAACCACTACCCAGCCATGTACACTTAGTGCCACTGCATTATCTATAATTGAAACTGAGTGACAAAAGAAAATTACTTTGTATTTCATAAATCATGTATGTTGCCTTAAAACAGATTCTATGAACCGGCTATATACCTAGATAATACACAGCCAGATTTAAAACCTAGGTAACAAACATACTGCTTAACACTTTTAACATAAACCCCCAGATTTTTCTAGAAATTTCTGCTTCAGGCATATTCCATCTTAGCATCATACATGAATCTAAAAAAAAAAAAAAAAAGGCACCGGTGAGGCCAGTTTTTCGGTCTCACCTCTGGGAGGCTTACCTCCAAATACGAAAGAGCTGAGAGGCTCCTGCTGCCCCCACAAAGAAATTAACAGCAAACAGACTCCAGTTTTTTGGAATAATTACAAGTGAGTATCTTGACCAAATAAACCCTGTTGAAACAAAAGATTTTTTTTTTTTTAAAGCACATGTACTGCTGTAATATCTTTTGAACATTCAATATTAGAGTAATATAAGACCATTACAACATAAAGTAGGATAAAGGAAAAGCTATACTTTGAGTCTTAATAAAGTCTCTGTAATTCAATGTTACACAAAATATTCAGTTCCTACATAAATAGGGAATCTTTATAGGGAAAATGAATATTAACTAACTTTTCTCCTGCTTATAATATGTTCATGGTAAAAAAAAAACAAAAAAAAACACACCCCAAAACTCATGCAGTTATTCACAGTAACTCTCTTATCTAATTAAAGTTCCCAAGAGAACACTGTTAAGTCCTTTGTGTGTGAGTGCATGTGTGTTTCAAACATTAAACTGTTAAATAAACTGATGTAAAACAAAGCAATATGGAATGCCCTAAATGGCACACAGAAGATATTCACTTAATTTACCCGTAGCCATGAGGACAGCAGATTGAGCGGTGCTGAGCTTCTCTGCGGGTCTGGCCATGTCCGCCAGCCCAGCGCACACCAACCCCTGGGAATAACATTAACACACAGCAAGAAAAAGCGCATCATGAGTGTGCAGTAATGATTCTTAATTTTAAATCAAACATAAAATTTTGGAGATTTCCACATGAAAGTCGTGATCATTTTTAGTATCCACGCATTAAGAACATGTATATATATCATCACAAAAAAACTACAATGAATTCAGGAATGCTTTTTGAATTTGTGTCTTCTTAACCACACAAGCGGCCTCATATACTTGACAATTACTAGTGCGTGTGTATGTATTCTTTCTAAATTTCATTTAAAAAATAAATATTTATGAAAGAGTTTAAGAGAGAGAGGGGGGTGAGAGACAGACAGAGCATGAGCAGGGGAGGGGAAAAGAGAGGGAGACTCAGAGTCTGAAGCAGCTCCAGTCTCTGAGCTGTCAGCATCGAGCCCGATGCAGGGCTTGAACTCACGAACTGTGAGATCATGACCTGAGCAGAAATCTTAACTGACTGAGATGCCCAGGTGTCCCTGTGTGTGTGCATTCTAACAAATGATACTTTTTTCACATATGAAATTACATATACTTTTTTCTTTGAGAGCAAGTGCATGCATGAGCAGGGGAGGGCAAAGAGAGAGGGAGAGAGAGAATCCCAAGCAGCCTCCGCACTCAGCACTCAGAGCCTGACACGGGGCTCTATCTCATGACTTGAACTGAAATCAAGAATTGGGTGGGATATCCCAAAGTTATATATTCCTTTTTAAAAAATGTTTATTCATTTTTGAGAGAGAGAGAAAAAATGAGCATGGGGGCGCAGAGACCGAGAGAAGAGACAGAGAATCTGAAGCAGGCTCTGTGCTGACAGCAGCCAGCCAGATGAGGGGCTTGAACTCATGAACCATGAGATCATGACCTGAGCTGAGGTCAGATGTTCAACTCACTGAGCCACCCAGGCACCTCCAAAATTATATATTCTTTTTAAAAATGTTTTTATTTATTTTTGAGACAGAGAGAGACAGAGCATGAAAGGGGGAGGGTCAGAGAGAGGGAGACACAGAATCTGAAACAGGCTCCAGGCTCTGAGCTGGCAGCACAGAGCCCGATGCGGGGCTCGAACCCACACACCATGAGATCATGACCTGAGCTAAAGTCAGAGACAACCGACTGAGTCACCCAGGTGCCCCTATATATTCTTTATACATGTTGGAAACCACTGATGTGGTGGATGCCTAAAAGCTAGTTAGGCATTAATCTAATTTGTATAGATTTCATGTTTTTGTCAATGTTAATTCTTTTTTAAAAGTGGAAATGTCAGAAAAGCTCTGTTATAATTTTAGCTTCTTGGCTGGATAATTTTTCTTTAATGTCAAAGTATACATGGTGATTTCTTCTCTGCTGTGCATTTAACACTGTTATGTAATCACCCTACAAACACTCAGAGCATCAGCATCACTCAGAAAGTTCAGTGCTGAGTCTTCACTGGGCACTGGTTATGTGGCTCTATTGCAGAGATAAGAACATGTAGTAAAATGATTTTTACTGATGGAAAATTCAAACCTACACAAAAGACTAGCACAAAGAACACCTACATACATACCACCCAAGTTAAACTTTTGTCACATTTGCTTCACCTCCTTTCTTCCCTTTCTTTTATCCTTTAAGTATTTCATTTATTTTTTAATTTTTAAAAAATGTTTATTTTGGGGGCACCTGGGTGGCTCAGTCAGTGAAGCGTCCGACTTTGGCTCAGGTCATGATCTCACAGTTCATGGGTTTGAGCCCCACATCGGGCTCTGTGCTGACGGCTCGGAGCCTGGAACCTGCTTCAGATTCTGTCTCCCTCTCTCTCTGCCCCTCCCGCCTCAAGCTCTGTCTCTGTCTCAAAAGTAAACAAACATTAAAAAAAAAAAAAAACTTTAGACAGAGCATGAGCAGGGCAGGACAGAGAGAGAGAGGGAGACACAGAATCTAAAGCAGGATCCAGACTCCAAGCCATCAGCACAGAGCTGGACAAAGGGCTCAAACTCACAAACCACGAGATCATGACCTGAGCTGAAGTTGGACACTTAAGTGACTGAGGCACCCAGGCACCCCTATCCTTTAAGTATTTTAAATCAAATCCTAGATGTCATTAAAGAATATGTTTTTAAGAAATTCTTTTTAGCTTTTATGTGGGAAATACAAATCAGGAAAGGACTTTGCTTCTAAGTAGAACACAGACATACTTGTGAATTTATACACCAATTTAAGTACAAAGCGTTCTGAATTAATAAAGTCAGTAGTTCAAGAAAGCAACGATTCTGACTTAAAAGGGGGCAAATAGTTAAGTAGGAGCATAACCAGGTAAATCATGGCTAACCCAATTTTGCCTCCTGTTAACTTTCACCCACAGTCCTGTGAGGTTTCTCCCAAATGCTTCCTAACCACCCTTCCTACATTCTTCTTCTAGGTCCCCACGTGCATTTTCTCCATTTCATATTTGAAAATATGGGTGGAATACTGCCTTTGCAATGCGGAAGACAGGCTGATCTCTGCTTTTAATCTACTGGCTCCACCACGTATTACACTGAGGCTTGCTGGATATATCTATGAACACCATAGGCTACATTCTAGCATTTTCTTTTGGAGAAGAAGTCAGTGGTCATGATTTACACTCACAGTACACGCTTTATTTTTCTGGGACATCTTAGTAATTATTCTCTCCCACAAAGGTCTCGAGCTCTCTTTCTACTTCTACATCGTTCTAAGCTTATGTAAATTAGCTTACAACATCTCACTGTGGGGAGGCTGGGTGGCTAAGTTGGTTGAGCTTTAGGACTCTTGATTTCGGTTGAGGTCATGATCTCATGGACTTGATCTCGTGGTTGTTGGGACTGGGCCCTGCGTTGGGCCCTGGCAGCCCGGAGCCAGCTTGGGATTCTCTCTCTCCCCTCTCCCTGCCCCTCCCTTGCACTCATTCTCTCTCTCTCTCTCTCAATAAACAAACATTTAAAGAAAGAAATAAAAGAGAAAATCTCACCGTGAAGCTAACCTCCATCAACTTACTAGCTGTGTGACTTTGGTCAGATTATATAACACTTTGGTCTTAAATTCCTCATGCATTAAATGAAAAGACTAGTAGCTACCCTTGCAAAAGTGATGAATGATTAAATGAGATAATATGCACAGTGCCTGGTAAATATTAACAACAAGAACAGTTGGTAGCTTTTGTCTGCGGAGCAAAAGAGAAAAAGGAATATTAGTTTTCTGTCCTTTCCTGCATTGTTAGCCTTAGGCTAGGAGGTAGAAGGTCCATGCTCCTTTTCATCTTTACTATGACCTTATTCCAATAATAGAACTAGATAGAGTCTATTCAGAGAGTGCTTAGAATAAACAGTAAGATTATGCAAAATACTCTCTAACATACCAAGAAAACACCAGCTTAGATCTACAGGCTATTTTACAGGCGGTCATGTAAGTGTTTCAGCGCACAGGCTCCGGAGCCCAGCGGACCTGGATGTCAAATCCTGACTGTGCCATTTCCCATGACTGTATATTCCGTCATCTGCTCTTGGAACCTCAGGAGGCTTACCCGGAAGATGGTAATAGTAATACTTACTTCTCAGATTTTTTTTTTTTTCTGGTGAAGATCAAATATGAGACATATCAAATAATTTAAAAAAAATTATTTTTTAATGCTTTATTTATTTCTAGGAGAGAGAGAGAGAGACAGCGTGAGCAGGGGAGGGTCAGAGAGAGAGGGAGTCACAGACTGAAACAGGCTCCAGGCTCTGAGCTGGCAGTCAGCACAGAGCCCGATGTGGGTTCGAACCCATGAACCGCGAGATCATGACCTAAGTGAAAGTCGGACGCTTAACCGACCAAGCCACCCAGGCGCCCCAACATATCAAATAATCTAATACAGTTTGGCATCTAGTGGACTCAAGTCAACTCCCTGTTTCCATCAGTTAAAAAATGGTTTTCAAATTGTCTGAAGCCCAGAACTGTGGTTCTTTTTGGCATCTGATTGTGTCCACGGGGTGGGGCAGATATTCCTCAGGCGGTATAAAAACCTTTTTTCTTTCTCTCCTTCAATATTTTCTCATTTATTTAAAAAAATTCTTATGACACTTTTAGAAGGAGTGTTAAAAAAAAATGAGATGCCACTATAGAACATTCCAATTTCCAAATGCTTAGAGATAGCAAAGCCCTCAAGATTTTAAACCATTAATTAATAGTTAAGTAAGCTAGAACATAAATAGTTCCAGCTGGAAAAGCAAATGAATAGGTATTAAAACTCTGCTTCGATAATAGGGGCACACGGACCCCAATGTTCATAGCAGCACTCTCAACAATAGCCAAAACATGGAAAGAGCCTAAGTGTCCATCAAAAGACAAATGGATCAAGAAGATGTGGTTTATCTATAGATGGAATACTACATGGCAATGAGAAAGAATGCAATCTGGCCACGTGTAGCAACATGGATGGACCTTGAGGGTGTTATGCTGAGCAAAATAAGTCAGGCAGAGAAGGACAAATACCATGTTTGCAGGTATAGGAGGATTAGGAGGAACTTAACTGAGGACCGTGGGGGAGAAGAAGGGGGGATATAGTGGGGGAAGGGGAGGGAGGCAAACCATGAGAGACTCTTGAATGCTGACAAAAACTGAGGACTGATGGGTGTGTGTGTGGGGGGAGATGGGCATGGAGGAGGGCACTTGTGGGGATGAGCACTGGGTGTTATATGGAAACCAACTTGACAATAAACTATTTGTAAAAAAAAAAATCTGCATCGATAATCTTTTTAAAAAAAATTGTTTAATGTTTTCTTTATTTGAGAGAGAGAGAGAGAGAGAGAGAGACAGCGTAAGCAGGGGTGGGGCAGAGAGAGGAAGACACAGAATCTGAAGCAGCTCCAGGCTCTGAGCTGTCAGCACAGAGCCCGAACCGGGGCTCAAACCCATGAACCACCAGACCATGACCTGAGCCAAAGTTGGACGCTCAACCGACTGAGCCACCCAGGTGCCCCAGCATTGTTTTTTAGTCTTATCCATTT